TCAGAATGTCGACCAAAAAACTGCAGTAGGCTAAGTTGTTTAAGGGCTACTGACAGTTTAGAACCGTCACAGTAGTGGCTGCAGAAGGTAATTAGTCAAGCCATTTGGCAGTACCCAAAGGCAACGTCGCTATTTGATCATCATTACAATCATAGTCATCAGCATCATCGACGACACTGGTACCGCTGCCATATGTTCTCCTCTGTTGCCATTTCTTCGCCCACCTTTTCAACTGCCTCCCACCACAAGCATGCTTACTGCATTGATCTTTGTCCAATACATAGTTAAGCACTGCTGATGGTAATTACGTTTTAGGTAAACAATTTTTTTTCAGCATACCTTCACTTATGGCTGGAATCCGAAAAACGATTTTTTTTTCTTTTTTGAAATGCAACAGTAGAGTGTCAATAAATGCCGCCGTTATAAAGAAAAATTTTTTTTTTTAACTAAACAGCTTGATCTTACTTATAAACGTCCATCAAAAACAATGCTTTTACACTCCTGCACTCCCCATTGACTAATCGTTGTTTCTCTACGGTTTAGCAGTAAAACACAGTGAGTGATACAGTCACACGTCGGTAACGCTGAATCATCACAAAGTCGGTTTCTGAAGTACCGATTTTACCCAACTCTGATATTATATTCTCCCAAAAAATTTGTTTCATCATTGAAGCAAAATAGTTTTCTTTCTAAACATCTGTTTTTTGACGCTCAGCAAAAAAATGACACTGTTTTTTTTTCGCTGACAAAAAAAAAACACACACACACAACTAATGACAGCCATCGACAATCATCTAAATAAAACTTCAATAAGTTGTAGATGAAAGAAAATGTTGTCTAAATACCCATCAGATCTGTTCCGAATCAGACAGCACTGTACATGCATTGAAAAGGTTTAAAAAAAGTGCATGATTTATTATATGCACTTAATGTTCTCCACTTTCTCTGAATTCTCATTCTTTTCTCTTCAAAAATCAAAAGAACACTTTACAATACATATTACTCCTTTAATTTTCCTTAATAATGCAATCCAAATAACACTTCAAGAAAAAGTTAAATAAAAGTGGTAAAAAATGAACAATAATTGAATGAAAATATCAATAAATGCTTACCACAAATGGTTTTCGAGCAACTGGCGGCGGTGAACGAACCGAAATACCAGAATCAGCACTTGGCGATATTGCAGATGGTTCATCTGGTGATTTAGGTGTGTCTAACGATGTCACCTCCTTGAGACTGTCCACGAATAGGTTTGAGCCATCACAGGTTGACATTTCACCACTGGCATCCGAGTGTTTTTGGCGCTGTTTTGCCAACTTTTCCTCCAACTCATCACGGGCTGCATCCATCAGCGGATTCTGATTTGGGTATACCTTTTTTTGACGTTGTTTAGCCAAACGTTGTTCCAGTTCGTTACGTTCCTGCATTTTTTTTTTGTTTTCTCACAACAATAGTTGTTAGGGACA